TGGGAATCAATCCCACTCCTCTCAAGCTGTGCTACAGCTACCCAAGAGGGAACTGGAAAGGAGGGGTCCAGCATTTTTTCACATGGATCGTATTCCATGGGGAAATGTAACAGAAATCATAGAAGCACAGAATGGTTTGGGTTGGAAGGGACCCCAGGGATCATCTGGATCATGGGCAGGGACACCTCCCACTAGCCCAGGTTGCTCCAAGCCCCATCCAGCCTGGCCTTGGACACTTCCAGGGATGGGGCAGCCACAGCTTCTCTGGGCAACCTGTGCCAGGGCCTCCCCACCCTCACAGGGAGGTGTTTCCTAATATGTAACCTCAGTCTACCCCTCCTGCAGTTTAAGGCCATTCCCCTTCACCCTATCAGCCTGTCCAAGTGTCACCAAAGGCACCAAGTTGGTGCAAGAGAATTTGCCATTTTAATTAATTATTGTTGATGACACAGATGAGTTTTAGCACAGTAATTGAGACCTGGGCAATTACAGAATGAAGAAAAGGTTTGAGTGTGTTACCTGCACACTGAATACAGGGTCTGCACTTGGGTAGTGACCAGCACTTGTATATGTTGGTCAGCAGGAGGCTCTCAGGGCCAAAGAGGGATATTTCACTCAGCTGACAAACCAAGGAAGAGCCATTTAATCCTCCTTCTAGAATCTAGCTTTTTGCAGAACCATGAAAAGTTTCAAGAGATATTAATCCCAGCTTGTATTGGCAACATAACATGAGGATAATTTAATTTCCTGCTGTATGACAGTTAAAAATCAACATTTCGATTTCTAAGAAATTCAAATTAATGGTTCTGAAGTGGGGCTGAGATGAACACTTCCTAATGCTTTAAAACAGCTTAGAGTTGAGCCCAGACTGAGGAACTGGCCTTACCTCTATATGAGGACAACCTACCACCCCAAAACATGTAAGGACTGGCCAGCTGTGTATCTCAAACTAAGTTTATTGGTTCATAAAATTCCTCCTTAGCAAAACCACCAAGTAATATTTTCTTTAAAAGTCTTTTGCAGTAACAGCTGTCTGACATGAGCTGGCTTGAAATAACAGACATACAAACCAAGAGGAGGATTCAAAACACAACATACAAAACGGTTTCATAACTTAACACTCAGTGCTAGAGTGAAGTCATTACCAACACCACACGTGCTCACTGTATCACACCCAGAGGCTGTGACACCTTCACACACAGGAGTCAGATGTAATTTTTCTCAGACTCACTTTGGTGAGTTGGTGAGTACCCTGAGGGGTTAAGTATCGTTGTACTTTCCTAAAACACCTGAAAGCTGCAAGTGCTTACATCTCTCTAGTATGTGGGTGGGATGCCCAGTGCCAGGGCTGCTGTGCACCACTGATGGCTCCAACTCACCTGAGCTCTGATTACCAGCTCACAGGCCTGTGGTTTTCCTCCTGTACCTGGGTCTTTGTTGCTGTTCTTCCATCGAGGTTGCTCCTGTGGCTGCCGAGTCAGAACTGCTGGTACAGTTCCAGTGACTAATTCTCTCATGACTCCCCACAATATCATGGATGTGTCCATAAGGAGCATGCTTTCAGAAAACATGCATAGATTACTAGTTCCTTGCAAAATGTACCTGCACCTGAGGGCACCAGAATGGCCAAAATGCACCTGCACCCCCAGTAACACCCACTATTGCATTGTTTTGAAAAAATTACAAACTGGCAAACTTCAGATGCAGCCAAGTGGCACTCTGATGAGAAACAGCCCATCACATAAAGTGTCCTCATCCCCTCATCACCCACTCAGTTACTTTCTGCCACTTACAAATGATGGAGCCATCTGGCTACTCTCACATCATTCCACTGTCCTCTGGTCACCGTGACATACTCCTCCTCCTCCTCCTCATCAGTATTTCTGTCACATCTGGGAAGGTATTGAGATGAGGGACCTGGCAGTGCATAACATCCCATTCCATTCTGTGCAGCTTGTATAAAACATTAGGATCTTCCCATACTGAAACAGCTCAAAGCGTATGGAGATTTTGGGGTGCATTTGGATTTTTTTACTTTGTCAATGAATGAGACTGTCTGCCACAACCAGCTCTTGACAAGGTTTGGCCAAAGAGAAAAACTGGCTGTATGAAAATAATCAATATTGAAACTGCTTCAGGGTACCCCTAGAAATACGTATTTATTGAAGTCTGAAGTAGCTTAGGAAAAAAAAAAACAAAATTATGGCAGGAAAATTCTTCCATCTCTGAGTCAAGAATCACTCAAAGCTGTGCAGAGGTTTTATTCTTTGCCTGCCTTGCTCTGTCTTCCACAGATACCTGTGATTTTGTGCTCTGTGTCTGCAGTGCATATTTAAGTACCAAGCCCAAATCCCCATACTGGGGAAACACAACAAAGGGCCAAGGAGGAGCAACTTAAATTCTCCTGTCTCAAACCTCATGGCAGAAATTCATGTATATATGAGCCAAAGGAGAAAAGCTAACCTGAAGAATAACTGCTACAAATGCATTAGTGTATCTGTCCCTGGAAGAAAGGAGGGGAGAAAGTTTGCACTGCAGCAGTGCCACTGGCTCATTAGCAAGCAGAATTAATGAAGGTGTCCTCACCACTCCACTGCAGGGAAATCAGCAAGCAGAGAGGCACTCCCAGCTCATCCTCCACGTCTAGCTTGTTTTATTTCTCTGCAGAGTGCTGCACATGGCACAAGATTTCCTACTGATGCACTGAAGAAGGTCTCCACCCCACCCCAAGGGCTTCTTCCCCTCCTCCCTCCCTGGAATGCTGTCATTCTGTGCATATTCAGTGTAATATCGATACCAGGAGGAAGAAATGACCAGTCTAGGAACCAGTCTGCTGTGATTCAGAAAGAGGTGAACATCATTACAGGAGGTTAAAAAATAACCCACATTTCTAAAGCTCAACATTTATTAATGACTTGTTTTCTTTGGGGAAGAGATTAATTGACGTTTGCCCTCGGAAGACACATGAAGAAAATTTGTCCCTGAGAGAATGCACGCAGAAATTTAGCTTCAAAAACCCAGCTGCATGCACTGCATGAGAAGAGATAGGAAGTGACTGCCTCTTGCCTTCCCAAGAAATGTCACTGCTCTTGGTAGCAACTGCAATGTGACAGCTGAAGTGATGAAGAAGCATCCTGCAGCATTTTCACTATCATTCTCCTGAGCAGGGGCTCGTGCTGCACGCTGAACTGTGATACCTCAGTTATCTGCTGAGTTCAGTCCTCTATCCCCACGTCTCTCAGGTGCAGACTTTGATGGAGCAAGTCACTGCTCCCAGCTGCTCCATATACAAACCCATTAATACAACAGCCCTCTCTGGACCAATCACTTCAGTTAATTGTTATGATGGGTCTCTCTAATTCATGCGGGGTTGTTTGTAATGTGTCACTGCATCATATTCAGGGAAAAGAATGATGAGTGGTTTGTATCCCAGTGAATAGCAAATACTGCTATTCTTATGTCAGTCTTAGGTTTGGGCTTTGTCTTAGTGACAAGCCTATTTGATGACAATAAAGGAAGGGGAATGGAAGGAAATGGCCAAGGAGAGAATCTTTGTTTTCTGTGCCTCATTCCAGTCTCCCTGGAATGTGAGGAGTAGCACTTAACAAAGAGAAAGCACTTAGAGCATTGAAACAGACTGATAAAGCAGCAATGTCTTTGTGATAAACTGCTTTTCTGCTCATCTGGAAAGTCCAGTTTTTCCTCATACTTACTAATATGATAAAGATCAGATGTCCAAAAGTATCACCGATTTGATGGGTCTGTGCTCAGTTTGATTAAGTGAATTTAGGAGCCACTTGAATCAGGAGATGATCAACAACAGTTGTGGAACCTGTTCAAGCACAACTCAATACTCGGTCCTGTGTGTTTTAGCCAGGATAGGAGCTCACCCACACATTTCCCCAGAGACTTGTCCAGGAATTTGGGAATGGAAATAGCAGGACAGCTGGTGCTGCTTCTGTTTTTTTTTCTGGTTTATCCTCCATTTTCTAGAGTAAAAAAAAAGAGTCACCTAAAGCAGAGGAGCAAGCCTCTACTCTGCCTCTACTTCCGAATGACCAGCTGAGGACAAACCTGACTTTCCCAACTCCTGTTGCTGCTCACAGATGATGTAAGAGCTCATCACCTCACTATGTCCAAACCTACCGTGTTAGGGGTCAGAACTGGAAAGCAAGTGTCAAGTGGTTTACCTGAAGTACTGTGCACAGAAGATTTCACTTCCTTCCATGCTGCTTCTGACCTGAAGAGCCTTAAAATGTAGAGCCATGCTGCCTTAGCTTTCAATCTGCTGACAAATTTAATCATCAAGGTACAGATTGGCTTTTGAGTACACAGAATGAGATTACAGTAGAGAAACCAGTTTTCAACATTCAAATGAAATTTAAGTTTCAAACTGGCTCTACAGCCAACTGGCAGCCCTGAGCTGCCTCAGCTCAGATCCATCCTGCACTGACATTCCTCAGAAATCTCAGAATATGGGTTTGCAGAGTCAGCTGCCAGGAGACTGGCTGGTGTTAGAGATGGACATGATCTGATTTCAGGTGGGAACACTGTGGAAAAAGAAATTGCAGGACTGGGCTCCTGACACACACAGTTTCACATGAGAAAATAGTAAGAGGATAAAAAAACGTAATATAACACCCACCTCTCAAGTCAAAACGAAGCATCAGGAAGCAGTGGGAAGGTTTCCCTTTATATTCTCTCTACCACAGTGTAAATCAGCTACTAAGGACAAGGTGGTCAGTGAAGTTACTCTACAGGAGGAGACAGGGGCATATCACAGCCCATAAGCCTTTTCCAGCTCAGAAGCATCACAAACAGAGCAAAACCTCCTCCGCAAGCATGATTCAGGCTAGTGAGCAGAAATCCCAACTACCTGCTGTCAAAAACTGGGGGCAGCACTCTCCAGCATCCCAGAAGGTACACACTTGCTGTAAGTCAAACAAATGAGGCACACAGAGAAAAATAAAAGCAAAAAGAGGCAGAAGGAGATAACTCACAGCAATGAGCTGGTAGGAGTTGTTCATCATGGCTATGAGCATGTTCAGCAGCACAACAAGGGAGATGACGTTGTAGGTCCCAAACATGGTGGCCCCAACAAACTCTGTGAACTCGTGCCTGGCTTTCACGTTGGTGACATAGAGGTTCAGCAGCCCGAACACAGACCAGAAGAGTGACTGGAGGGTCTCGAAAAGTCTGCAAAGAAAAAGATCTTTACTTGGCTACCTGATGCTGGGGGATGGAAAACAACTCCCGGTTCAGGCAGTCTTCAGGTAGGGGACACAGATATTGGGAGACATCACAGAGCAGCCACTCAGTACAACCATTTATCCTCCCTGGGCACAGTCTGTGCTCCAGCCACAGCGACCCACTGGCCAATGCATGTGGGAATCATGTCACATCAACAACATTTGTGACCTGTTCAAGAGCCCTGTCCGTGTCCTTGTGAGATGCAACCAGCCTAACTCTCCCAAGGAAACCCAGGGCTCCCTTTCCCTCTAATTAAAACTGCCATGCTGAGATACTGCTGTTATCTATAAACTCTCCTGTTTAATCACTGCCTCCATCATTAACATGTCTGCAGGATGCATGTTCAGGGAACCCATCCCCACGGACAGCATGGCCATGGTAGTTAAATAGTGCATAACAGTGAGGCACCACGAGGTAAGAGAGATGAGAAATCACATCCACTTGCACCTTTTGCTCAAATATAGGCTGAGAGCTGGCAATTGCTTCAGCTGTTGTGACCCAGTCTGTTTGCAGTGCACCTGCCCCAAACCACTGCTCACCCTGGCAGGTTTTGGCAGCAGCTCCCACCCATCCAGGGCAGAGCCCTGGGCAGGACCTGCAACCCCTGATCAGCAACGACATCACAGTCATTCAGCTCAACAGTTTTTTCTTCTTTTGAAGTCTTTCTCTCCACAGATGAACTAGACCCAACCTCACTGTGCTGATGAGATCATACCAGGTCTCTCTTTGCTTCAGCCACAGACAAGTGACCTTTTGCAATCACATCAGATACGTAAGCAGCAATCTAAATAATTGCTCTACTTGAGCATCTTTCTTTTGGCTTTCCAAAATATGACGTTTATATCATCCAAAAATGACATTTATATGCCAGTTTAAGCGTTTCCATTTCGGCCTGAGGTCAGCAGATATTTTCAAATGCAACAACTAGACAAATCAATACAAATAACTCAGATACTTTACTTGACATACCAGGAATCTGTTCTTCCAGCATTTCCAGGCACCTGTTCACATGTACCCCCATGTCTTACATGAGGATTTAGTTTCTCTGTACTTTGTGGATGTATCTTATGTTTTTCACTGGCCAAAATCATAAAGACTCTTTAAAGCAAAAATTCTTTCTTTCAAAAGTCGTCGGGCTGTTTGGTACATTTATTAAATAAAAAATAACTGAGATGGTAAAATAAGGATTAACCAAAGAGTGCTAAACTTTTCTCTACTAAAAATGATGGAGTGCTAGCTGTCTTTCAAAATATTTATAATATTTTTACTATTAGCATTAGAAGTACTGCTTGGGCTGTAGGCTCATGGGAGGCAGAGGTTCCTGTCATTAAAGTGAAATCAGTCCTAGATGTGATCAATGAATTGCTCTGGAGGCATAATATTAACTAATATATATATAATGTATATATGTATAATGTATAATTCGGGCCCAGACCAGGGCCAACATATTTACATGTGGACATGTGGTCCCCCTTGGAAAAGACATATGCTGGTTCCTGCAGCTCTGCACAGCAGTAAGGCTTGGTTACTCTTTCCTTAGTGTTTAATGACAGGACAGATCCACAATCTCTTTTTACAGTACGTGTTTCGGGTGGCACTCACACTGCTCTGGGAAGCAGCTTTAAAAAAAAAATGGAATTTTGGAAATAGTGATTGAGAGACTGTCCCGTCCTGCTGAGTGTATTTTGTACCTTAACCAAACAGGAGAATTCTCAAAGCTCCACCACTCTCCATGGCAGCTGAGAGAAAGCAAGTGCCCCCCTCTGCCACAGGAACCTGCACTCCAGGGGAAATGGCCCCAGTGAGGACACAGCAGGCAGCAAGGTGTGACTTCCTGCAGCCCTTCTTCCTCTTCCTCACTCTCTTCTTCCTCCTTCAGTTGCCAGCATCACAGCTAGGAACATATTTTCCAATCCTCTGCCTAAGCAGCAGGCACTCTGCTGAGGGATGGCAGGGCCAAAGCAGAAAACCTTAAATTATTCATGACTTCCTCTTGTTGCTGTCACAAAGGAATAATACTTTTCCATGATCTGTGTTTGAAACGCAGAAAACTTCCCCACAAGAAAATATTAAGCCCACCCCTTTGAGAGTAATAGGAAATAATGAGCCAGTAAATAGGTGTCACACTTGAAGCTGTGCACACACAAGGGGCATCCTCTTTCCTTCCCTGGTAAAACTAGAGCTTATTGTGTGACTGCCTAGGAATGCTGGTGGGAATCAAAGGGCACTCACCGAAAGCTTTTTACATTTATTCCTTCCTTAGGAATGAACTGTGAGCAAACTTGGGGTACCACCAGCCCTGGCTGAACTGGCTCCAGCCATGTTTGCTTTGCCCCAGCTCAGCAGTGTTTGGATCTGCAAGCTGCTCCTTCCCAGCCACTCAACCCATGCTGTGCATTTGCTCGCAGCCAAATGTTAGCTTGTACTGGGGGTGTTAATAACGACTATTTAAACTTTCAAGAACACATTGAATAAATTTCTTAAGCGAGTCTCAAACAAAAAGTACCTGCAGAGTGTTCTGTCCCCTGCCAGGAGACCTCACTCCTAATGGATCCCCTCCCACTGAGATTTTGTTTTGCACAAACCTTTGCCACAAAGGCTGAGCCCCCTCAATTTCCTCTCTGTGCTACATTCCCCTTGGCAGGGGGGTTAAATGAATGTTAGGGTAGGAAAATTGTGGTCTGCATTTAAGCTGATCTGCACACTTTCTGCTAGTTCTGTATCATTTCTAGCTCCCAAGGCATTACACCTTACAGACTTGAGGATGGTTGTTTTTTTGAGTCAGATCCTGCTGTTGTTTTCCACTAACCTGATACAATGAAATCTGTAAAACAACTGCCTTGCAATGGTGACAAGTCCCAACCAGAATGCTCAGCTGAATGCATCTGTTCACTGTAGTTCCAAAGAAAGGCAGGATTTGGTCCTGAACTTTGTGGGTTTGACCCTTTCCGAGGTAGAAGTTGCCCCTTAACACACACTGTGCTTGTCAAACCTTCTTCCCTCTGCTGCATCCGTATGGACATAGATCAAGGAATATTACTTGTTATTTAATTCCTTTGCCTGGGCAGCACAACATATTTCCGGGGCATGCAAAGCAATTAAACAGAAAAAAAGACCAAAATCTTTAATTCTGTTTCTCATTAGCACCGTGCAGCTTCGTCCACTTCCTCCAGATAGACAGGGGAAAATTGAGAAAACTGAGAAAATTAATCAGGCCTTTGGTGGTCCTGCTCTGCAGTGGAAAATGGCACGTGCCTGATCTACCTGTTCTAAGGTCCTGATGCTCTTGAAGGCATGAAAATCCCACACTTCTTTAAGGAGGGAGCCCACAGGACAATGCTGGAGCCTTTTCTCTCCCAACAGAGTCATGTGGCCTCAGCCATCATCTGTTTTTGATAACAGTGCAAATATGTCCCAAATCCTTTCTTAACCCCAAGCCTTCAGCTGACAGAGGGTGGAGAATTATCGGGCATCATGACAAGTTTCATTTAATTTAGCATAAAATGGTGGACAACAGTTTTGTTTTGCTTGTTTGTAGGGCATGGGCCTTTTTCTAGACTGTGCTTTATTTATTTCTCTTCCCATTGTGAGTTAAGTACTGTGCAAGCAGCAAGAACAATTGGGTGGGGGCTGATTATTATAATTATTTCTACTATTAGTAATTAAAACAAATATATCAGAAAGACAATTCATGTTATTTTTCAGCATGTGCTATCTCTTTCAGCTCTGCCAGCTGTCCTCACAGCAATTTCCATGCCAACATCTCAGTAAAGTACCAGCATTCCCAGCAAAAAGGGTTTTGCTGGGATTTTAGTCTCAGCCCTCTGCAAGGAAATCAGAGAAGCCTGCAACGTCATGGACATGTAAAAATGGTCTAGGTGAGACTGTTGATTTTGCTGTATGACATTATTTATTAATACCTTTCTTTATTAGGTTTATCCCTTGTTTTCTACATTTTGTTCAGCTTTGCCTCCTTTCCTCCAGAATTAGACAAAAAAATTACTGTGGCAAAAGGATACTTGCTTTCTCAAATATACTGAAATTGTACATAGTCATAATAAGGTTTAAGTTGCAGGATCATGTAGGGAGACTCCTTGGTCCAGAATTAAAACGACTGTCTCCCACTTCCAGACCTAAGGAAGAGTCTTTCTGACAGCAGAGCTCAGCAGAACGTCTGCCCCAGTTAACTCACACCTTTCCTGCAGAGTCAAACCCCTCTCCTGGTATTTGCAGATGAATAAATAAAGGCACTTTCAGTGCAGTGACAGACAACAGGCAAAAACAGGTAATGCAGGGGACAGTGGAAGTCAGTTTTAAAAAGAGAAAGGAAAGAATCTCTTACGTGGAGAAGGCATTGTTCTGTTTCTCACATCGGATCCCCTTGCAGTTGTTGGGTTCCTCCGAGGCACTGGTCTCATAATAAAAATAAAGCTGGTTCAGTCCATTTGCAAAAGCCAGAAGCACCAGACAGTAGATAAAAAGGAATTTAAGGATGTCCAGCAGCATGCGTCCCAGAGAGATCTGCAAGGGTCCCAGGTGGGAATTGGCTGTAAAAAGGGATATGAGACGCAAGGAACTTAAAATGTTGGATATTGCAAAGAGGGCTTCTGCAATGAGGGTCGGGTGCCACATTTCCCATTCCTCCCTGGGACGGGAACCATTATACTGAAAGAAAGAACAAGAAAGAAAAGTGAATTATGTTGTAATTACCCAGAGACAACTCAAAAAGCCACACCTGCTAATAACAAACCCTTCGTGGGTAAATCCTAACCAGCACTGGTGACACAAGAAGTACTTCTAAACTTTTATGTCTCAGCTACTGTCAGACTAACATTCGGGATTCAGGATTGAAGCTGACTCGATCAGGGCAGAGACTTTGGTTTAATGATGCCTTCTTATGAACTGCCTTCTAGATTATGACCCCTGACAGAGTGAGATATGGGCTTCAGGTATGTTGGCCATTCTTAGCCTAAATTTAAAAATTCGAGATTTTTTAAAATTTTCTGAATTTTGAATTTTGACTTCACTGTATGTGGATTTGTTAGGTCCATGAGTTCATAAATAATCTCCTTCTCTTTCAGCATTTAAAGGGGTTCAGATTTCAGCAGGATCCAGAGAGAAATTCGCAATTACTTTTTTTCTTTTGGCTCCTAAATATGACTGCACATTCAAAACACTGCACATTCTAGGAACAATGCGAGGGAGGGAGAAGGGAGGGAAGAAGGAAAGCAATGAGCTATCAGATGCTTTCGTTCCCCAGTAATCTCAAAAAAAAAAAAAAAGTGCCAACAGCCCAGAACCAAAATGCTTTCTTCGTATTAATTTTCTTATTAGTTAATTTGTCATGGCAATTTTAGGAGAGCGCTAAACCAGAGGTCTTAATTACAGCTGAAACACTGAGTGCATCAACCATAACATTAACTGGCTTTGTAATGTAACTGTAAAAGCAGGAGCATTTTCTGAGCAAAGTACATCCAGATGCAAGAAGGCAACACAAAAGAGCTGGTTCTGTAAATGTAACTGCTCTGGTTTAACTACACTGGCACCAGATACTGGAGTCAAAGACATTTAATATCAAGGAACAATTGTTCTTTTAATATTTTTTTCTGCTCATTTAATGTGTATAACAAAATGTACTTAGAATAACAGAGCTAATAGTGTAGCCAGTGTGTTTAGGACCCCTAAAATAATTTTTGTACCTTTTAAAAGGAAATACTGCCAATATCACACTGACAGTCAAGATTTCAGGGACTTTCTATTTAAATCTGAAGGTTCAATATATGCTCCCGATTTTTTCAAGGACGTAGCTAAAAGCAAGTTGATATTTCAGACTAATCCTCCGTATGAAGGAGACGAGACATGATACAAAGGCATTTCAGCATGACCTCGGATTGCTTCTGACATTTCCAAACTGTTCTTTATTACATGACCATCATGGCCTGAGCCCGTTAGCTTGATTTAAGATGGGTCTTAAAATGTTTACAAACAGGCAGGCATGTTAACTTTCTGTGGCTATCTGGCAGCAGAGGTGGGTGGTTGGGATCAGGAAGCCCAGACAGCAGATTTGCAGAGTTATTCCCAATTCTCTTCTGCAGCCTGGCTGGACACAGCAGCCCAGGGGCTCTCTGCTAGGGTTTAGCACAGACTGCACATAAAGGTATGTGAAAAGGTCTTCTGTGCCTCATACCTATTTTTAAAGCAACTTGTTAGGGTCATATTTTGCCCCTTTATAAACTGATGGTATATCCTTCCTTGGAAAATAGTCTCTTCAGAGCAGCCTGGCCTCATAGGTAACAGTGAAATCTGCTGTTTCATTAGGGTTATCTAATGAAGCTGGGTATCTGGGAAGGCTGGAGTTACCTAGCTTAGTGTCTATTCAGAAGATTAAACACAGCAGAGATGTACACAGAATAGTACAAATAAATTACATCAGGCTGTTACATTTACCATTCCTCATTACATGATAAATCAATGCAGCAAATGAAAACTGATTAAGAAGGTATTTCCACCCTATAATTAACCTGAAGATTTAATTGGTATTGGACAATATTAGAACCAGGTCTCGGAACCAGATAAATCACGAAAAAAGTCTTCACGTAAAAACAAGGATGGAAAACATTAATGTCAGTGTGCAATTTAGTTTTTCTGATATTTGGCAGAAAGTTAAATGTCCATGTAATTCTTTGAAGATCTCAGAAGCGTTAGAATATGGTATATTGGCATATATCCCAACCTTTTCCAGCTCAGGGCTGTTCTATAAATAACAAGTCGTGTCGCAAAATGGTTCGAAGCCATTATCAAAGTTATAAATCCTCATGTTTCAGAGCATGCTGCAACCCCTAAGTGACACAGGTCAGAAGGGAACTTCTGTGGCCATCTGTTTCAGAACTGATCCTGTAGCAGATTTTATGGACCTCTCAGAATTGCCTGACATTGATCCTCACTGGGCGCTGACCTTAGACCAGCCAGGTTTAATCCAAGAGGGTCTGATCTCTGCTCAAATAGATATATTCCTGCTAACCTTCTTTTGTGTGCTGGCATATAGGTCTTTGTAGTTAACCTGCAAGTTTCTGTAGTTCTTACAGAGTAAACAAACAAAGCTGTATATCCTTTGTGCCTGTGGTTTGGCTGTGAGTTTAAATCTTATTATGTGACTGTATAAATCCAAGGATACACAGCTCCTCTAGTAATTTGTGTGTGAGAAAGAACAAGACTGTTAACATTTTAAGATTTGTTCCTGAATCTTACAATTTCCATCATTTTTTTGTTTTGTTTGCGGTTTAAAGACCAACCTTTCAAGTCTGTAATTTCCTCACCGGTTCTGAATAAAAGAATTAAGTTGGGAGAATAAAAGACATAATCTGTTCCTGCTTTGATGCTGTTACAGAGCTGCCTCTTCAGGGAGCACCACCAGCTTAAAGCTTTTCCCTTTGAAAACATGACTCACCAAGACACAACCTTCAGCATTTTACAAAGGCCCCATAGCAGGGCTGTTTGCATTTTGGAGTCAATGGGCTTTATGAAATTTTCTCCTCTTTCCCTCTCTGCCTGCATACCTGCTGGGCAGGACTAAACAAGGTTGCTTTGGGGAAGGGCTTGTCCTGATTACTGGGAGCTTGGCTACGAGAAGTAGTGCCCTTCTACCAGGGCAAAACCAACACAGTAGCACAGCAAAACTAGAAAGGGTGTGAGTGGCCCAGGAGCAGAATCCAGTTGCTTGATTTACACCTGAGTAATTACACTGACTGCAGTGAAGCTACTGCTGATTCACACCGAGGAAAGAATCAGGCCAAGCACGAAGCTCAGCTGAAGCCAAAGAGAGCTATTGCATAAGGAATTTTACAGGATGCCATTTGTGTCTCATGTTTGAAAAAGGGAGACAGAAGGAAAGTGCTTCAGGCCACCCTCTGGCTTCAAACCACATGCATATGCTAATTTGGAGCATCAGAAGTTTATAAATGTGGAAGGTGCTTTTGAGGATGAGTTCTGATGTGCACTCCTAGCACAAATGGAACATGACAGAGAAGAATCTACAGGATGTTAAAGCCCCAGCTTGCTCCTTTGTCATTTCCCTGCCAATAATTTATGTATTGAAGAGTAAGTTGAGTCCTTTTTATCAGATAGAAGCCTCCTACTAACCATCTTGCTTTTCTCAGTAGACCTTTCACAAACTTCCAATTAGTAATCTACAGATCTGGAGGACTACAGATTATAAATCTTGCCTGTAGATTTTTTCAGACAACCCTATTCTTGGTTTTCCATTTTGTTTAAAAATCATATTTTCACTATGTCTAACATGGTTGAAGGAGGTCTAGTGTCAGTATGGAACACGAACAGCTTTGGCAACAAAAGGGACAGAAAGTGGGGAAATTTCTACCCAGTGCCCAAACAATCTCCTTAATCAAAGAGGATGAGCAGGACATTCATTCTCCAAACAAATTAATAAGCTTTCCAGGTGAATTTTCAAAACTGGACTGCTTGAAAAGCAGCTATTCTCTTTGATCTGTAATTTTGATTTGTACAGTTTTTACCCTGCATACTACAGTTCCCACAAGCATGTTACAAATTCTCTGTTCCAAGTTACTGTACCTTGACATAGGCAACAATTTTAAGGGAGATAGTTGCAAGATAGAGGGAGTTCATTGCAAAATCCATCAGATTCCACCAGTCATGTACATACTCATTGAATCCACCATCCCACATTTCCTTGATTTCTCCCCAGATAAAACCTGTAGAAAGAAAGGCAGAGAATTCATTGTCATGACGAGGCATTATTTCCCATTAAAGCACTGTGCATATCTGATGTACTGCCAGACAACTGGGAATTAACAGCTTGGAAAAAATGTCTCATCCCTTCTGCCTTCTACAAAGTATAGTGCTGCTGATTATGAGACATTTTACAAGTCTGTGGGGAATGTAGTCTAAAGAAAGATGAAAAAGACATTGGTTTCCTACCCAGAGCTCCAGATACACACACGAGGAGACTGCCTGAAATATGTTTATTATAACCAGTATGAGTGGATTGGCTCAGCTGAAATTTGTTCTATGTGAATAAACTATTTTAGCAACTGTATCAGGTGCTGTTTCTAATAGATTTTCTGCTCTCATAGACACTCTAAGCAATTCATTCCCCTCTTAGACACTTTTTCCTGACTTTCTCTAGCAACACTAGTACCAGCTTGTACATGCCAGTACAGTTCCTCCCTGACCTGGAAATATCACACCAAAGAAGGAAGACGTGAATTCATTCTCTCTGCTCAGTCACTGTATTTATGCATCTTGCTGAACAAAAAGCCCACAGGGATAATTTGTGAGAAAAGGTAAGACTCAGCATGAAAAAGGGCACTGCAGCCTGGCACTGCCTCCCTTGGCAGTGACTCATCTCATGTCAGATATGGCCAGGGGTCCTGTGAGGTGAGTATTTGTTCCCAAGGATAGAGCCAGAGCCCATCATCTCAACTCTGAAACGCCTTCTGGTAACAATTTTTGGCACTTGCTAGTGCTCACTGTGCCTCCTTGCAGCTGGAGGAGTGAGGGGCAGTTTCTGAAGTTCTGCTAAACTCACCTGGCATAGAGTTATGATTTAAAGTAACTTGTATGTCCTTTATTGTAGATCTGTTTAAGTATTTTTGAAAGCCTAAGTCCCATTAAAAAGTAAATGGCAGCTAGGCTCCTTCAACCTCTAAATGCTTCTGAGAATGTCTTTAGAGCCCCAGGTATTTTTGAATTACCCAGTTTCCAATATTATCCTTGAATGAAGACCTGAAACATGTGTGAAAAGACAAAAAACCAAACCAAAACAAAAACCAACAACCAACAACCAACCAAACATAAAATCCCCCCCAAAAAATACACCTCCAGGTTATTACTAATATAGTTTCTCAAACTGCTGCCCCTACCTAACCACAAGATACTGCAGTGGTCACTGATATGCTACTTGCAACTCAACTTTAAGGAGCTGAAAGTTCAATTTAAGAGCAAGTAAAATTGAAATGAGCTGCTGCACACCCCCAAATATCAATCTGAGCTGTTCAGCTGCCAGCCAGCAGGTCAGCAGTCAGACAAGCATAATGTCAAGGCCAGTAAGGTAATCTTATTACAGCTGCCTCCATGTCTTTGTATGAACACAAAACAATAAAATAAAATAAATCAGTGAAAAGGATCCTGTTGAAGAACTCATACACTGTATTTATAGTGAGTTATCATTGCTGGTTACTATAGTTACAGCAATGCTGTGTGTGTCTGTTCTCTCTCCTTTTATAGTGGAAAATATTTCGTAAATAATAACTTTTAATCTGGTGAAACTGTTCTAATTTCTCCATTTAATAAACACTCCTACAATATCTGTATTTATCAGAAACAAAGGAGCTCAAGAAGAGGAGGCAGGTGTAAGACGTGCTTTTTTTTTAATGGATTATCCTTCTTTCATCTGCAAATCAATTTTGTTGACATGCCTGCCATTTCCCTCAATTTTAAGCACAAATTTAAAGTGATCACCTAAGCTCAGGGAAGACATTTAACTTCCTCAGCTTACTCTGAAGTTTCTACCAACATCTGCATTCAAATGCCATAAATCAGTTTGATCAGACAATGAGGCTGTGGGTAGAGCTGTGAAAGGAGTACAGTGCCCTGGGTCACCACCCCAAGTGATTTGGGAACATCCCACTTTCCTTCCTTGTTTTGCATCAAGTCTGGCACAGGGAACAGCACAGAACCAGGAGGAACACAGAAACAAGGAGCTGTGTCCTGGTGCTACCAGGAGAGGGGAGCCAGCAGGTATGGGAGAGGCTGGAGGAGAGCTATATAGGTGTGGAAACCAATGCCCAGTGGTTGTCCATGTCACTGAATGTCCGTGGAGACTTGAGGCTCTGGCAGCTCCCAGCAGCCATGGTAGGTCCTGCAGTGGGAACTCCAGCACTGAGCAGGTCTGGCAGTAACACCCCAGCTCACAGTGGTGCCACATGCTCATGGCACAGCAAGGGGGATGGGCACTGAATCAGAGGAGAGATTGTGCTCCTGATGGAGCCCACAGGTTTCCACTTGCTGTTGTGTTAGAACTCAGTTTGGAAGGGTAAATAGTCTCATCAAAAATATATCAAACTATGCTTGTCTGCTCTTCTCCCATCTCATCTCATCATCTCATCTCATCTCACTCACCTCATCTCACCCTACCTCACCTGTACATCCTGCCCTCAGGACACAGACACTTCCCAGCTGTGGTTGCCCAAGCCAGACTGGAATAAGAGCCTCATGTTTAACCTTCTTATAATCAGGGCTCTCTCCTTCTCCTGCTTATATTAGAGTATTTGATGTTGATTTGGTCAGTGATTATCAGTACAGACTGAGATTTATCTTCCCTTTTTCGCCTTCCTGTAGGTTATTTAGGAGTCTGGCAGCCCAGGAATAAACTGGGCTGGTACCTGCACACTGCCTGTGGCAGCCAGGCAGGGAGCAGGCAGGAGCAGAGACAGGCTCTGGGCACTGCCTGCTGCTGTGTACCAGCCAGCAGACCTGAACCAGCAGGAGAGGTGACATTGTGTGTGACCCAGAAGCTAATTCCTAACCCCCTCCTTGCACAGAGCATGGGGGAAGCAGGGAGAGAGCTGCATCTGCCACGGTTTATTCAGGGTCATGTCTAAAGGAAAGTCAGATGGCAACAGAACAGCAGAAGAGCCCTAGGCCAGCAGGATCTGTTGTTCCAGAAGGAGCCCAGCTGTTCTGCACAGTTTCTGGAGCTGGCTGCCAAATCTCTTCACATGCTGATGATGCTGAGATCAGGAATGAGTCCCCACACAGTTACCACGGGTGCCAGTCAGGCAACTGTGGCTCAGCTTTGTTGTGTTTTGGATTTACCTAGAACCCAGGGCAGGATCATCCACTCCACGATGGTGGGAGGTGGCCCCTGCATGTGAAGGTCAGTCCTGACGATGTGCTGCGACGCCAGCAGGAGCATGAAGAGGAAGGTCAGGTAAGAGCCGGTGTGGCAGATAAACTTTATAAATGGCTTTTTAATGAACAGTCCCAGCCTGCTCTTCGGTGCAATCAGGTACGCCACGGACAGCACGGGAAACAGCAGTCCAATGGTGACACAGGTCAACAGTTTTACTGCCCAGTGTTTCCGCCTCCATCCTGGGAAACCATCGTACCAAAGTGTTGCTAGTAGCTGCTGGCAGTTTGGCTGAGCAACAAACTGAGGAGGAAAAAAGAGAGAAAGACTATTACTGATTGGTGCTTCATGTGCACTCCCCCTCACATATGTGTTAGAGCCCACACGAACCCTCATAATACGTTCAGGGCCAGCTATGGGGTGGAAAAGCATATTTTGGAGACAGAAGGGAGAAAGGAGGCAGATTTCGCTCTTATTTTTCTATATAAGATTTAAGATTTCTTCTCGCAGAAGAAGTATTATTTTTCTATTTGAAGCATCCTTATGTAGATCAGCCACTCACCACACAAAAACCTCGTGCAAAAGTGACACAATGAAAATTTACTACAAGCTGTTTCTCTTCCCATGTGTTCGAGCACGTTTCTTTTCAGAATGTTTCAGGTTTTGACTGCCTCAAACAAAGCACTGTCAGCATCTTGAAGAAGTGACTAAAAGATGAGACAGGAGGGAAAAGGTGTAAACCTCTGAGGGTGTGTGTGTGTGAGAGAGAGAATGTCTCCAGAATTGTGGGGGGTACTGCACGTGGCTCTGTGCAAGGAGGCCACAATATGTGTGTGTGGGCTGGGCATGAGGCAGCGACGTGAGGTGCAGCCAGGTGACATCTGTTGGGAAGCAGGACAGCACATTTGTAAGCAAACCTCGCTATTCAGGAAGGGAGCAGCTGTAAAATGTAGGAGATTAAGTGGAGGCCAAAAGAAATCTTTGATCACAGCACCAGAGGTGACACTTGGGAGTTTACCTTCACTCTGTAAAAAATAGCATTGTGATGGTGATTTACTGCATCTCAGTGAGTCCACACCAGACATGCTCAGGTTGCACCGACTTCAGACTGTTCTGATCCCAAACAGCCTCTGGGATTTCAAACTCAAGCCATGATATTTCTGCTCTATGCCAGAAGACTTTATGTTCCTGATTATACCTGGACAGCCCCGTGGTTTTCAAAGCTTTTCAGACCCAGAGATAACTAGAGATGTCTGCAGGACTGAGACAACTGTGTTTTTCATTACATATTTGATTTCTAATCTGCACTGGAAATTCAAAGAAAATCTCAGCCATTGTTCTGAGGATGCTTGTTATACTCACTGTGCTGTAATTAAACCAGAAAAAGTAGCTTAGCATGGATAGAGTTATGGATAAACATGCTCCTGTAGCAACATATGTATGATTGGACATACCTAAATCAGAAAGAATCACACTTGCAATGGACACAACAATTGTAGCAGCATTGATGAAGGAGAAGAGACCTCTTATGAAGGAGGTTCAAAGCAGGGAGTAACCTGAAGATGACACTACAGTTCACTACATTTGAGATCAGCTCAGTTGGTCAGAGCACGGTGCTGTTAACACCAAGGGGGTGAGTCTGATCCCCATATGGGCCACTCACCCAAGAGCTGCACTCTGTGATTCTGTGTGAACTTGGCTCACCTGTATTTAAAAGGGATCTCTGGAGGCATGTGGTGCCACCACACTCTTCACAGCCCTCAGGGAATATTTTATCAGGCAAAACACTCTCTCACCACTACAATTAAACCAGCTCTGTGAAGGAATATGTTGTGGTACCAAAAGGGCTACTGAATACAAGAGTCCTTCTGTTTTGCCACCCCACATTGGTGTGATTTTTTGCCTCTGGAAGAAGCATATATAACATATATATTACTACTGCCCTCAGTGACTCATACTGAGTCAGCCATCCCATGTGCATTTATGAGACAGGTACAAGGCTCTTCTTGTCATGTCCAAAGATACCTAGACATTCCTGTAGCTCTTCGTCACCAGGAGAACAGATTCAGCGTGAAAGAGGCATTAATTTAATAAAAGCTTTAGCACACACTGAGATTTTTTAAATATTCATTCACCACAAAAGATGCCCAATATTGGGAAGACTTTCAAGTGCAGTTCTTGGAGCAGTCTATATGAGCAGAACACTGTCACCACCGTGTTCAAAATGATTAAACCAAGGTCAAGCAAAAGGAAAAATTAGTGTGATGAAGTCATTCACTTCTATAAGTATTTTTAGATTTTGTTAATGTATTTTATATATTATAACAAGATGTTTGTATTAGAAACAGATCACTTTTGGACTGGGCAGTTCAAATATACAGAATGACCCAAATTAGCATTGAAAATAAGATCTCCAAGAGGACTATCTGGCATTTATGAAGCTGGATTTTTTGTGTTATTACAACAATAAACTTCTGATGACTTCTGCATCTGTCATACAAGTATGACACTCTGTCCCAGAGGGCTTTGGGAAAGAATATCAGAAGAGGGTGTGATTTGGAATCAACCTGCACATGCATGCAGCAGAAAGTGGGCAATAGCTGACAAGGTCTTCAGAAAAAGCCAAGACCTTGTAATGATCAGAAAAATGTCATTTCCACACTTGGGGACAGTGATTATAAAATCACAGAATCACAGAATGGTTTGGGTTGGAAGGGATCCTAAAGTTCATCTCGTCCCACCCCCTGCCATGGGCAGGGACACCTTCCACCAGCCCAGGTTGCTCCAAGCCCCCTCCAACCTGGCCTTGGACACTTCCAGGGATGGGGCAGCCACAGCTTCTCTGGGCAGGTTAAAGAAACAGTTCTACAGAAACTAAAAAACATCAAGCCTCGATGGCTGTTGGTTGGGGTTTAATCTCTGATTTCATAAGGGTCAGTGCTTTATGTTTAAAATCTAGAAGAAACAGAAAGTTACACTGCTCTATCTTCTCATTTAAGATCCCAAACAGGAGCTGTTACTGGATGTGTTCTGCACTGATTTACAACTCCTGCTTCTCTGACATGAGGCACAACTCTTTTTTCTTTTTCTTTTTTTTTTTCGAGGAAGAAAATGTTATAAACACATTTTCTCTTTATCACATATGATAGAAAGCTCTAAGGGGAGAACAAAACTGTTTTTCCCTTGAGTCAAAGTCAAAGTCATTTGAGAAATCAAATGACTGTATGTTCCTCTGGTTGCTGTGCAACTTGCAAGCATCTTAAAAGTGCCTCTTCTCTGCCTAATGGCTCATTTCTAAAATCTGCTTTCTCAGTTGTATCTGATGTTAGTTCTTCAAATGGAGAGAAATTCACACATCATGAAAGAGCAGCTTTAAAGAGCAGATTGGCAAAAGGGAATGGAAATGGAAAAAGCCATTAAGTTTTCCGATCAAGCCAGTCCCAACCTCACTGAAAATGGCCCATGGGAACTTTAAACATACCACAGAAAGAGGCTCTCCCTAATGTCACAAACCATCAGATGCTGTCTTTATTAAAGACAAGGCCAAGCACTTACCACTATAAGTTTTATTAATTTGTATTAGTCGAACTTACTAACTAAAGATTTAAAATCAGTAAATATTGCTGCTTAAATCTCCAGCAGTGCAGCTGGATGGAAAAAACAAAAATTTCCAGTTTGCAGAAACACTGGAATTATGAATTATAATGAAGAAGTCAACTAAGCCATTGGTGTGCTGGCTAAAGAATTGATTGCTTTTTGGTAACTTTCCTTTCCATGTTACTTAGACTAAACCATCAAATTCCTTTACTGAACTAAACCACTGAATGTTCAACTCATTAAAGGTTGTCTAGGATTCATAGCACTAAATCAATGCACATAAAATACAAGAACATGAAAAAGCTTAGTTACAGCCCTTCTAGGCTTGAAGTAGCCTGAAATCCTAATAATATTGTGGAAGTTTTGTTATCATCCATCATTTCAAATTTCTTCATAAAGTTAAGGAAATTTCTTCAGTGCCAATAGCAGAACTGAGGTTTGGAAAAGCAAGTTGACGTCTTCAACACTAGACCAAGGCCTTTCCTAAGTCAAAGTTTAGTATGAGCCTATAAGTATGGGCCCAAATATGTTTTCTCACCTTTTTGCAAAGCCTTTGATGTGCCATAGACAGAAATAGTGCATGTGCATATCACAGCCTTTTATCATTTCACATGAATGTATTGTGTGTGACAGGATTTGGGATCAGTTAAAGCGTCTGCACAATGAAAAGCAGAGATGCTGATAATTTAAAAATCTGCTTATTGTCCAGTTTTGTAGATGGTCCAGAATGAGAGGCAAATGTACTGCACCAGGAGCTCTGTTTGTTTAAGAGAATATGTGACTATAAACCACTATTTCTCCAATGCTTAAGAAGCACAGTATCGAGCATTTTTTCCAAGGATTGCTGCATTATAGGAGCCTCCAATCTCTATTAAAGCGGCAGCACAAGACACCATCCCACGAACATGACAGAGAATGTGCTGACAGCTGAATTAATGAAAAGAGAAGCCTCCAAAAGGTGGCATTTATGCTCAATTCAGCTTTCGTAGGAACTAAACATTTGATGCTGTCCTTGTTTGTGCTGTGGCAAGAGTTAATTTTCTTCACAGTGTGGGGCTGTATTTTGGATTTGTGCTGGAAACAGTGTGGGGATGTTTTTGGTACTGCTGAGCAGCACCTGCATGGAGCCAAGGCCTTTTCTGCCTCTCCTACAGCCCCACCAGTGAGTCATCTTGGGGCTGCCCAAGGAGGGGGGACACAGCCAAGGCAGCTGACTCCAACTGAACCCAGGGATAGCCCAGACTATATGGCTTCATGCCGAGCATAGAAAACTGGGGGAGAAGGAGGAAGGGGGGGAGATGTTTGGAGTGATGGCATTTCTCTTCCCAAATCACCGTTCTGTGTTACAGAGCCCTGGGGATGGCTGAGCACCTGCCTGCCATGGGAAGTGGTGAATGAATTCCTTGTTTTGCTTTGCTTGCATGCTTGGCTTTTGCTTCATCTATTAACCTGTCTTTATCTGAACCAATGGGTTTTATCACTTTTCTGATTCTCTCGCTCATCCCACTGTGGGGCAGAGAGCGGCTGCGTGGGGCTGAGTTGCCAGCTGGGATGGAATCACGATGGATGCTCTGAAGCCCATGGTATTGCTGGCACAACATTGCCCAGGGTGCTCCCCACTTGCAGACAAGCCTGCAGATGCATTTCTAGAGGAGGTAATCCCAAAAGCTATCTCCTTCTCCATGACCTGTCGAGCAGAACCCGTC